ATGAGCCCCGGGAGTAAGGTGGGGCCACAATGAGAGTTCAAACTTGTAGAAAAAAAAACACAGTTAGTCAAAGAAATATGAAATCATCCTTATTTAGTGTAGATTTAATTTTGTTCAAATCATACTCCCCCCTTTTTAGGGGTACGTCTAGGCTACTTATCCATTTAAGCTTTTCAATACTGAACTGATTTTGGCTTTTTTCCTAGCCACGGTGCTCAGGTAAGCGATGTGGTCCATGGGACTCTTGTTCCTTTATTTTTCACTGTACGTAATGGTAATTTATGTACTATATTCTTCATTTTTTTCTTGATGTGTGTTTTTTTTTTACAACTTATTTTCGTGGATATAATAAAAACAAGCCATTATTGTAAAGAAATTGTATAAATGAGATCCAAGGGAATGCAGTTACTGATACATGTACACTGCATGTAGGCTATCATTTTGACTACAAAAGTAATTGTACGTAATTGTAAATATATTTCTCTCATATAATACATGTACATGTATTACATAAACTTTCCAGCGCAATAACCCAGTACTAGTAGTACAAACGGAATAAAAGCAATATCTGAAATTATGTATGTATGAATGCTGACAAAAAAAGACGTAATAACTTCACTTGCTGATACCCAGGATCTTTGTCACGTGATAATGCTATGTATCACAATAAAAGTGCTTTGGAGAAAAAAAAAATTCACTGTGTTATTTGCAACTTTAATGTATTCAAAATAAAGTTCACGTCTTCTTAAAAACTATTACAATTTATAAATTATTTTAGGCACTGTAATTCATATCCGGAAACTTAATACTTTATTGTTTTTATATCTTATGCACGCCCATTTCGGGGAGCAATTCATGTAACAAATTTTTATAAAATTATCAATTAATAAATAACTCATGAGAAATTAAACACAATTTCAAAAGTTATAGCAACCATTCAGACTTAGTATTCAGCAAATTTTTAATTTTTTTTATTCATAACTTTTATGTACGTTATCAATAAGGAATTATTCTATCGAAGCAATGAAAAAATTACGTCTCATTTCCCCATGTGCACATTCTAACATAATCACAAATAGTTTGACCGCTCCTGCGACTGATAATAATTCTTGTCCTCGAAGAAAGTATGTTATATTGAGGTTTACATGTAATTGACTGTGTTTAGTTACATGGAATTAACAATTTGCTTTCTCTTTAGTGGTTTATATATATATATACATATATATATATATATATATATATATATATATATATATATATATATATATATATATATATATATATATATATATATATATATATACATACACACACACACACACACACAGCGGTCTAGCGCGCTGTTCCTGTCCTGCTAGGAGACAGATTCCGTAGGTCGAGAGTTCAGTCCCGGGCTGGGGCGGAAGTGGGTATCCTTATAAAAAGTGAATTTCTTTGTGCTTTCTATATTAATATTTCTTCACTTAGGGCAGTTATTTAGTTTAAGAGTTGATGTAAAATGTGGTTTATAAATAAAAATTAAAATTTCATTACAACGTGTATTGGTAACGATCCTCTAATAAAACTAATGTCCAAATAACTGTATCTCACTTCCATTCTCAATGACCGTGTAGTGTAGGGCAGCGCCGCGAGAATTCCATCGGCATCGAAAGCAAGTTTTTTGACTTGCCTAGATAGCCGAGCGGTCTAGCGCGCTGTTCCTGTCCTGCTAGGAGACAGATTCCGTAGGTCGAGAGTTCAACCCCGGGCTGGGGCGGAAGTGGGTATCCTTATAAAAAGTGAATTTCTTTGTGCTTTGTATATTGATATTTCTTCACTTAGGGCAGCTATGTTAGTTTAAGAGTTGTTGTAAAATGTGCTTTATATATACATATATATACGAGGGTTGTCCGTAAAGTTCGTGGACAAGCTAAAATTTAAATAAAAGTTGCGTCATAGATATTTATTTTTAGCATATTTATAATCCTTTACTATATGTGAATTACAAAATGAAAAATTTTATTCAATTTTAAGTGTATAATTACAATTATGACTCCATTATTAGACTTGGGATGGTGACCCGGGGCACAACAAAGTTTTAATTAAAAAGTTATTTATCACTTTATACATTTCATTTTTATTTTGTAAAATTCCGCGGAAAGGATGGCTTTTACATTATAAGGTTGATAAAAGTTATACGTCAAACCTGTAACATTTGAAAGTTCAAAGTTTCGAAGTGGCAGAGAAATCGAGGTCAGAGTTTATTAAGACAGGATCGTCACTGTTCGAAAAAGGGACGTTTTCGGAAAAGGTGGAGCAGAGAGTAGTGATATAATTTTGTGTAGACATCGGAAAAACACCAACAGAGACCCATAAATTCCTTAAACAGTCGGGAAATCATGGTAAAGTAATCTATTCTTTAGTGTTTAAGTGGCACAGAAAATATTCGGACGGAAGAGACAGTTTACTAGATTACATGCGTGAAGGAAGACCATCTTTCCGAGATTGTAGTGCTGTAAAAAATGAAAGTTCGTAACGTGACTTTGCCGTGTTTCCGTACATACAGTCGTTTTACGCGGACAGAGGTTTGATGATTTGCAGGATCTGAGACAGGAAGTGTTGAATATTATTTCACGTATGAAACCAGAACAGTTTGTGCACATTTTTGATAACTGGTTGAAGCGACATAAGAAATGTGTTGAGTTAAACGGTGACTACGTTAAGAAAAGTTAAATGTATTTAGCTTTTCACGTCGAGTAACGCCAAGGATTTTTGTTTTAGTGCTCCGGGTATGAGTGTGTATCTTTTTTGTATCTGATAAAATATAACTATTTGCGCTTTGTTTGTAATTAAAACTTGCATATTAATAAACTGAAACATGAATTTCATGAAAATAATAATTTCATGTATTTTATCAATGTTTGTCAGTAATTATAAATGTTGTCCACGAACTTTACGGACAACCCTCGTATATATATATATATATATATATATATATATATATATATATATATATATATATATATATATATATATATATATATATATATATATCAAGAATGAACATTGAAGATAGATTATAGAAGGACATACACATTCTCCTATTAAAAAATTGAAATATTCTTCGAAAAGAATTTGAATTTAAAACTATAAAAGTGTGACACCAAATGGATTCGAAACACGACTCTAAAAAAAAGTACCCGCGGCGTTGATAGTCAGCTATTATACCTTTTGAGCTATTCTGGCTATGAAAATAGATGGTATTTAAATATTAACCAGGTTTTCAAAAACAGTTTTCCTTTCTTTCTTTTTTATATAGGTTTTTTGTGAATTGTTACCCTAGGGCAGAGAAAAAAATCCTATCTTAAATTATTCCTTAGAACACAAGGTATCAAAATATCATAAATTTTATTTAGGGGCAGACCTGTCCTGAAGGACTTCTAGGCCAAAATTCATGCAAAAGCCGATGCTTTAACAGAGAAAAAGCTGTTTTTAGACAACTTTGGAGGTAAATGTTGAAGTTGCAAATAATAAATTAAGGTTCATTTTGCAAATTTGAAAAATTTAGACATACACATAACTAATGAACATTGATTTTTGAATGTGACTTTTCCGGGAAATTGTTCTCTCCCAATAGGTCAATTCTTTTGAAATTCTGAATGCATAACAAACGTGTTGTGTTAAATAAATAAGAAAACTGTTCGGTATATGAAATGCTCCTGTACATATTCAAGAGTTTTATACAAAAGTAGTTCCAATTAATTAAGGTATTCGATAAACATGTAAAAGAAGTATAATTGTCATCAAATTAGTGAATACGCGAGGCTTCAAGTTGATAAAGGTACATTAAATGAATGTCAGAGTGTGAGACTTTCGTGGTTGAGATGAATTTACTGCTGTACTTACATTTATGTGTCGTATATTTACCGTTAGTTTCAGATCAGAGTCCAAAGACAATCACTTATTGTACTTTTAAAACAAAAGGAGGATTTCCTGACGTTACAAAGTTTAATAGCTTTTTAATTCGAGGCGCAAGAAACATTCCAAGGTCAACAATTTCATTAAAGTACATACAAGTACGTATAAATGAATTTAATCAACCACAGCGCTAACAACACCATCTAATTAATTTTTTTGTCAATATTTCTTGCATTAGCAGTTAATTGTAATTCTGACGAATTGTACTTTTATCTAAACCTAAGAATAAGAACTAGTAACTTTTGTTATATATGAAGCTTGATACGCACATGTATAGAAAAAAAGAGAAGGGGAATACTTTAATACAAAGGGAGAAAAGAGGAGTCTTGTTATTTTTTATCCACGCTGTACGCGTATTGAAAGGTATAAAAGTAAAATATAACGGATATTTCGTTAATTATGATGAACTAATATAGTCTGCAATATAGAGTGAAAGAAAATATGATGAAAGACGTTCAAACAACATTATATTTGATCAAACTCAAAAGCATACATTTTAAATTAAATTAAATAGAATGACTATGACATTTGATACATCCGACAATTGTTTTTTTTTTTTTTTTTTTTTTTTTTTTTTTTTTTTTTTTTTGTCAAGTTCTAAAATTGTATTATAATGATATCCATGAAACTCCAATTGTTTAAAACATTCAAATGTCTGATGCAGTATATTTGTACGTTCATGCAATCATGAGACCCAAAATTATTGCCATGTACCTTAGCAAAGATGCTATCATAATCTTATCTATGAAATTCTTATTGGCTAAAACATGCACATGTCATAATCAGTTTATTTGTACGTCCATGCAATCACGAGACATGGAATTATTGCTTTGTACCTTCGCAAAGATGCTGCTCAGTGTGGTAAACCATAAGTCTGAAACCCTATAAAGCATTGTTAAAGAATATTGCTTGTTCCTTGGTTGTTTGTTTGTAGATCACATGAGGAATAATTTTACAATTAAATTTCTCCGAACAAAAACCAACTTGTTTGGAAAATATATAAAAGTGAGAGCTTTACCAAGTTGTGTAAAACGTACAATTCAACAGCAAGAAGATTTTGATATACCGTACACGAAAATGAGGCTTCTAAGCATCTGTTGTTTGCTAGTCCTGGCATTTTTCCATTATTCTGAGGCCATAAAGGAGTGCAAGTGCAGGCCACAGCATCCACAAGAGGCATTTTGTGATGACAAAACTTTCGGTAAGTCAATTCTATTAAATATTTCTTTTGAAGTTGAAAAAGTTTCCTTTTGATTTAGACCGAGCTAAAACAAAATTCTTGGGTATCGTAAAACCATTCAGTCATCGGATCTACGCGGCGCATTGCTGATTGATTTTTTTTTTTTTTAAAATAGATGTCACTAATCAAAATGTGCAATAAAGAATGGACATACAACACTGTGGTGGACGTTTGAATCGAAGAAACTTGTATATATTATAAAGATTTCACGCGGTCAAAGATAAAATATACATGTATTTTAATATAAATTGCATGGCCTTCTCTCTTCTCCTTGTATATGATTTTATTTTTGATTTTTTTAGTTATCAAAGCAAAGATATTAAGCAGAAAGAAGGTATCTGGTGGACCTGGTTCTGGACGTCGTGTTTATAAAGTCAAAGTCTTAAAAGATTACAAGGTTAAACTAACTTTAATTCTACCTGATAAAATGTGCAGAAATAATATTAGGAACAATATATGGGAGGATTTTAGTGCCATAATTCTCTTTTAATATTTTTATTTCTTATTTTAATTTTAACTCCTTATTGTTTCAAGTTTATTTTAACATTTTTTTTTTTAAAAATTATTTCTTTTTTTTAAATTCTAACTTCTTGATTTAATTTTCCAATTTTATTTTAATTTCATTTTACAAACTTATTTTTTGAACCAAAGTCTTTAATCTTTCTTTAATATTGCAGAACACCTTTGATCCTATTCAAGGAAAAGAAAAGATTTACACAAGCTCGTCACATGAACCCTGTGGTGTATATTTCAGAAGGAAGGCCACATACATTATAAGTGGTAGACAATTGGTTCTTATATATATTTCATTTCAAAATATCATTATTAAAAGCATTATGATACAAGTTAGGAATAAAATATTTGAGGGACGATTTCATGATTTTCATTTTATTTCTTTGTCATTTGGATTTAAGGGGGTATATATATGTTGTGTGTGTTTTGAAGTGCATTTTCCGTAAAGAAAAAATACTACCAACTCTTTTTTATTCTGAAAAAAAAAAATTAAAAAATAATTATATTTCCACTCAAAGAAAAGGGGGCAACTTGATATGGGGCGGAAAATTTTAATTTTGTGTACGTTAGGGTTTGGACCCCCCCCCCCCCCACTTATTTTCTGATAGCGAAGACGGCTTTCATTTAATTACAGAAGTCTTCTAGGATGGTTGACTAAAAGTAATGTTATTGCTAGTTTATTATATGATAGAAATCAACCAGGATTCCTCCTACCCCCTCACTTTACCTCTTTTCCATCTGGATCCTACGATGCATTGGGTACCCGTTTAAAAACATGGAGGATATATTATACATTATAATTTGATTTTTTTTCTACACAAAAAGAAAAATATAAGTGTTAAATCCAAATACAAATGTATTTATAATTTTATCATCGCAGGATACAAATCTGGTGCGGATGGAAAGTTGACAACAAGCGCTTGTTCTTGGAGCCAGAAGATCTGTACCGTCACATCCTTCCAAAAGTTTGCTCTCAAGACTGGCCTGTACAAAAAGAATTGCCAGTGCAAGGTACGATGTGGGAAGATTTACCCATTTTTGTAGTTCTTAGATTTATAAAAATAATCATTTTTAGGGGTACTGTTCAATTAGGCTAAGTTACAACAAACAAATACAAGTCAGATACATTTATGATCTTCCGGCCTGTTTCTTGTAGGACAAGAAAATATACCGAATTTTTTATGAAAAATACTAAGAAATCTTAATTTTTATAGTTGATTAAACTTTGAACACTTTAATTGATGGTATGATGGGTATAAGAAATGGGTTTACTTTGTTCAGATTTTGGATTGTACGGACGGAAATTGTAATCCACCAACAGGAGAGAACTGTGTTATTAAATCAAACAGAAACTGCTACCTGAAAAAGAACGCATGCGTCCAAAAATCTACCTACGGTGCCCTGCAGTGTGGTTGGAAATCAAATACATGTGATCCGAAACCTGACCATGAAGTCAACAAGGAGGTCGTTTATGAACCCGTCGACACTGAAGTTCCGGAACATGTATACACTTCCGGGGAACATGTGGTACACAAACTCTTTAATTCGCTAGCAGAACCAGAGCACTTTAAAGGACCGGAAGACAAACACATTGTCATAGAGCCTTACACAAAGGACGTGTATGAAAATATTGACCATGTTCGACAAAAAGTCGTTGGCTTCTAGATGCTGTCGTTTTAGAAAGTAAAAATTTTCAGTAATATATAAAATGATATTGTATTGAAATGATCAAAATTTGGACATGTTAAACATCTTTTAGATAAAATTGATGCTAAGTTAGTAGGCCTAAACTTTTGTAGATTTTTGCCTTACAATATCATTTCTATATCGCTAGATATGATAAGGACCAAAACATCAAATGTATTTAAAAGTAAAAATTTTAATCAAATAGTTATATTAAGAAACATCTTTTCCATTGTTTTCGGTCGTATTTTTTTCTCAGAAATTCTGTAATCAGTAGGTTAACCCGAAGCAAGGTATTAGTTTCTTTTAGACAAATTGTTGACAGTGCCTGTTCGTTGTTTAATTGTCTTTGTGGCTTAGATTTTCTTGTGTTTTCTGTACTAATCTAGAATGTCTGATGCAAGTATTGTGATATACGTATAGAATGTAACCAAAGATATTGCATGGATTTCTGTAACTTATAAACATTTCGTTTTTAAATAAAGAACTCTTTTTGTATTGACTTCTCTGTTACCTTCAAAGACATGTACAGAATTTATTCTAGAAGTCTAGTGTTTCAATCCACCAGGTACATGTAACATGTATGAATACTTGTGATCACAAAAAATAGTTTCCTAATTCACTAAATAAAAGTGTTAAATCTTTATAATTTGCTAATTGTATAACGAAAGATAATAAAAAATGGAAACATCACCATCATGTTAGCAATGGTAAAGACATGCATTTAAAGAAATTTCTTGTACTCCAAGAATTTATTTACAAGTTACATTTTAAATCAGATTATTGTATAACTATCAGAGATGTTATTTCTTTCAAAAGGACGTAGCGTTAAATGCCAATATTTAGATTAGAATCGCTCTTCAGATTAAGACGTCAAAATTAAATGATTTTCTTCAGTTTTCAGCTTATCATGAACGCATTTATCATTGAAAGGTGTATCCTTATAATAGTGTATCAGTCTTTCCGTAAGTCTGTCTGTAAGATGCATCTTGTTAGAAAACGTTGCGAGTGGATGTTCATGAAATTAGAAAAGAGGTGTTCCTTGGTTCCTTGAAAACGCCAACAGATTTTGAATTGGAAATGGTAAAATGATACGGAACCCCCCCCCCCCTTCTTTTTCTTTTTGATTAATCTTATTAGTGACTAAGACATTAAGACAAAATATCAAAAATTTACTTGTTTTCAATAACAATACGTTTACCTTTACACAGTTTCAAATAGTATAAAAATTAACAGAAAGCATGTGATGATTCCATGTAGAATGTACACGTGAGTATTATGCTCTCGTTTGTTTCTTCTCTTGCAAAATGTTGATAGAAATAAAATGGACCAATCTCTGCCTCTATCTTAATTTTCAATAAAGTTACCCAAAAAAATGACCTTGGATCCCCCTAGCAAACACGACCCCCTCGTAAGATGGTAAGGAGAAAAAAGTATAGTGTATAAATTAAATAGAAAAGTGATCCCCCCCCCCCCCCGTGTGTAAAACATACTGTGTGCAGTTTAATTGATGTCTTAGTCAAATATAGACCATCCCCCTCCACACCACACGGAAACGAACATTAACTTCAGGAACACTGAGTTGTTTAAGTTGTACTATGTGCAATTTGTATTTTAGTTCTATATCGTTCAACAAGTAATATTAATAGCTCGGGATCGTGTTACAAACAATTCTTACATAAAAACATTGTCCCATTCGCTACACGTGGAGTATTTCTTGGTGAGTAGTAACAGTAGTTTATCCGAAAACATTAGTCTGAGGCCTTTCCATGATCTTGCATCAAATAAATTTGTTGTTTTTGAAGATCTTCTATCAACTAAATTTGGTGCTAAATCATGTATGTAGGAATATACAGTTCTAAACACTAGGGCATCCTCTCTGAACTTGCACTTACCTATTTCACATTATATTAGTCTTTGACCAGCCATAACGCTACAGTTCTGCAGCTAATACAATAAATACACTTTTTCACATAAAATGAATACACATTATGTGTATTTATTACATTTATATGTGAAATAGACAAAAAGGGCGAATAAGATGCCCCTAGCTGTGGTTCTAATATACACCAGCTGTATACGTGTATTACTCATACACAAATTTTAGTAACATCTTAGTACAAATTGATTAAGACTTAATTTAAGTATTGCAAAATCGTCTTTCTACTGATACTTCACCAATATCTTTATCATGTTTATGAAAACCAAAGCAGTTGCGCATTTAATTTATATGTATTACATGTACATCTACTTTAAAGTCAAAGGGTCCACTGGACGAGATCAAGGACCTCACGTATATAATCAAGATCAGTGAAAACAATCGTCAGTCAAAATATATTAATTCGTCCCAGAGCCGTCTCCAGAATTCTGGAAAGGAGATACGGAGAAGGGTCTGAAATTATTTCCCTTCCTTTGAGCCAGAATTTAATATAATATAATATAATATAATATATATATATATATATATATATATATATATATATATATATATATATATATATATATATATATATATATATATATATATATATATATATATATATATATATATATATATTTGTACTGGTGCATTCTTGAAATTGTTTTAAAAATGCTAGAATTAAATTATGAATAACGAATTACATGTTGTTTTAAAAGTGATACTTTCAAATGCTTTTATAAAGGGGATTCAGTCGCACCCAACGCACTCCCTCCCCCCGTTCTGGCTGCCTTGCATCCCATATATATCTGTATACACAATCGAAAACAGAAATCGCGTGGAAGACTATACTTTTATTACTGTGATGTTTATCTAACCACAGGAGTTCGCGTATTTATCAATTTAACCGCAATTTTCAGTAAATAAAAAAAATACGTAATACCTATAATAATAACACAAGGATGGCAAAGCATTCCAGGTCACCGGGGAACCCCTCCTTTAATATCGTATATTTTTTATTTACTGAAAATTTCGGTTAAATTGATAGGTACGCGAACTCCTGTGATCTAACAATTCCACAATCTACAGTCATTTAGAGATCATTTGGATGGGGGGAAAAACCAAACAAACAAATCAAATGCACTTCGTACAGTTGGCTTCTTAGAATACAAACTATCACTACATATAATTAGTAGACAGCTATAAGAGAAAAGGGTATACAGGTATAGGCAAATGTATTAAAATTTCAGTTTGCTTTCAAAATACTTTCGCTCTCGGTTCAACATAAACATAATTTAGCTTTATTTTAGAATTTTTAGAAAACAGTAAATAAAATCAAAGTGACAAAGGACTTTATTCTTTGTTTAAAAAAAAAAATAAATAAACGCTCCATGCGAGGATCGAACCAAAACTTACCGATTCCTCACCGTCATGGAGAGGAACACAACATGTACAACTGCACGTGCTGTCGTCGTAGCATACTAAGTGTGGGTTTTGAAACGACAATAAAGCAGCGCATTTACACAATGTGTCTGTTTTAAAGTTCGTTTTTATGGTCTATGGGTCTTCTTTCCATTTTCTTTTTACAAAAGGTTGCTCGTTTCTTTGAGTCGTAATCCACAAAAGTAACGTTTTAAAATCCTAAAATCCTGGAGAGATGGTCGTTTGTTGTGACGCAGTTTACTAAAAATCTAACATTTCTCTATTCTGATCGGGCAGTTTTAGTTGTGTTACAAGAGTTTTCATTATTTTTCCAAATTGTTTTCTGTTCTCCGATTTATCCAACTGACCGACCGTGAACGAAGGATTAATGATGTCAACTTTACCTGGAAATCTCAGAAGTATGTTGGGATTCTGTTCTCGGTATAGTATCAGATCGGAAGGAGGACACGACTCTGTCAGATTTTCCAACTTTGCAATCAATTTCTTCACATCATGATACTTTGTTTTAAGTTCTGCTTTGTGCTGTGATATTTGGCGTACCGCCTTTTTCTCGTCCTCTACAGACTCGTCTAAAGCTTCATTCAAAATGGTTGTAATAAGATTAGTGAAATCTTCGGCTTGCGTCATCATCTTTTTTCGCATTGTTTCATGACAAGTTCTCATCACTGCTTCTCCTTTTTCGAGATCTTTAATCCTTTGACGGATTTCAGCCTTCCACTGCGTCTTTAGTTTAGAAACTTCTTCCATGCTTTTTGCTTCTCGTAGAAATCTTGCAGATTGCCAATGGTGTGTTTGATATGCACTTTCTGAATGCAGGTAATGCGGACGGGAACTTGACAAGCTTCACAGCAAGCACTATATGCTTTGGATGGGTGGTTCTTGCACATTTCACCAAATTTTTGGGCTGATGTCTCTCTGACAAATGGATGATGTTGTGGCCGGAGGGGACTTTGCTTTTAAGATGAAAGGCTTTACAACGGGGACAAAATTGATCTCCACACGGAACACAGCGGAAGAGAGCGGGCTCGTCCTCACAGAATTGACAACGTATGGCATCTTGGGCTTGTGCTCTAGCCATGACAAACCACTGAAAAATTATCTTTTTTTTTTAGAAAAATATTTTTACAGGTTATCAGTTTTTCGATGGCTAGCTTACTTATATTAGCCTTATATACAATAATGATATCGAATGCTGTGTTTATGATGCATATGATATAGTAGGACGTGATCCCCTTATGTTCAAAACATTTATTTTCTATAAACAAAAAAAAAAACCATCCACAGGCCCGGGTTTTGAAAGGGGGGGGGGGGGGAGTAACCTCCTTAAAAAGTAAACTGTCCACATTCTAAAATCCTATTTAGTGTGTGTTTGGGGATGGGGGGGGGGGGGGCAGTGGGCCTTTTTCTAACTTTTCGGTATATTTCTTCTTTCAACCTTGACCGTACAGCAACAAAAAGTGGGGGAACAGCATCCAAATCATAATTTACACGTTAAAACTACAGCAAATTAAGACTATTCTCCGAAAAAAAGGGAGGCAGGGCTCCCCCCCCCCCGCCTTCTACATGTACAGGCCATCATTATACTTTCCTATTTTCCAAAAAAGCTGTTCTGTTGGAGGAAACAGGAATTTGGAGTATATATGAAGGGGGTTGAGGGGTGGTAGTAGAAGGTTTTGAAAATGAACAGCCAAAAAAAGAATATCTCGACGAAGGGAAAAGGCAAAACCTTAAAATACAAGTATGATACATGTAATAATTCATTGTAGGAATGGCATTTTTTTAGAATGACAAACGGGGAGCATTCTTCCACCTAAATCAGAGCAACCTCAATTTCGGGTGTGATGTTCGTTGTGTGGTTGTGGAGGGGTTGGTTTAGCACCTATAAAGTGGTAGCAGTCATGATATGCCGACGCATGTGGGATACATTGGATCATCACTATACAAGTTTTAATACGGAATAAAGCCTGATAATTTCCAGTATTTCAGGACGATTTTCATGCTTTGAAAAAAATACAAACAACCGAACCTAAAGCCCGATCATAGATAACTTTTTTGCGTTGTTAGTATACAGTTCAGGTTATTATTTAAACGTGCAAAAAACTTGATTTCATTAGTTCATAACAAACTATGCACCTTAATATTAGATTATAAAAATACATGTAACGGATAAGAAGGAAATTACAGTACAAATAATACAATTATAATCATATGAAAAAAGTGCTATTTAAATACTGGTATTAAATATTTAAACAATGGTGACTAGACAAACAGGAATGTACTTGTTTTCAACTTTCGTTTAAAAATAGATAAATATTCTTTGCATTATCTCTCCCTCTCTTTCTCTCTCTATCTCTGTAAAAGGTGCTAAAACATAACATACCAAAGGTTGAGTACTAAAGACAAAATCTCTTAATTGTTTGAAGGTATGGCCATTTAGCGGTGAAAGAGGCTATGCTTCACCGAGTATAGTCGTGTACGGAGGACCAGATTTGTATGAACTTAAGGTGAACGCGGTTAATTAAGACCTAAGGGAAAAGAGGACTGTATTGCATTACCGATAATTTTGAAAACTGGTCGGTCATCATTATCGAAAATTATTTTCATTCATTTCCAAAAGAATACTAGATACCTTTACCGAAACTTCAAAATGGAGCATTTAACTCGAAATTCATTTCCATTGGCCTGTTATTCGTGTGTACAAGCCACCCAAATACATTCCTGTTTTTTAGATATAAACAGATACAGACAACAACATATGTTAGGATACGTGTTCTAGCACTAGAGAGAAAAGGTTTGATATGCAGAAATTCGCTAAATACGAAAACTAAAAATTATGAAAATCGAATATCGGGCGAATTTCCATTGTTCCGTGTCCATATGAGTGAAAAATTCTCGAGAGGGGCGTTAAACAACAAACAATCAATCCATTGTTCCGGGTCCCGATACTTCTTTATCGAAATCGTATATATACATATGTTACTTTTATTGCTTAACAATTCAAATAAGAAATTAAATAAAACTTTATAAGAGGGATGATAGAACATTTGATTTTAGTAAATTTTGTTTTAATTTGAAAAATTAAGGCCTGTCCACGAATTTTAAGGACAGCCCACGTACGGGTATTGAAACCGAATTATACACTGGCCATATTTACCAAGTCGTGTCCACCAGCATTCATGTAAACCCGTAGGTATCCGATGATGTACTAAATATCACTAAACTTTATATGGTTTCAATATGTGTATAAAAGTAAATGTTAGATTTCATTCTATGACGTGCACAGATACTAAAACACTTTGAAACCTTAAATACTGCAACAAAAATGGGGGGGGGGGCAACCAGTATCTAAAGGAACATCTACTATAGCAAAATACTATACCCAGAATTAAAAAAGTGGGAGACACCCCCCCCCCCCCCCCCCTGCGTTCTACCGGCCTGAATGGATCCCTTCTTGGGCACGTAGTTGTGCCTTCATTGTTCATCGTTTGTAAAACGTTGTTCATTCGTTTAGTGGTGAAAATGAGAGGGTTCGTTAACCATCGTATGAAAAACGTCGAGATGTAAAGACCTGTTGCATGTAGTTGTGCAATCTTTACCGATACGCGACCAAGGAATGTGCTGGTGAATAAGATCACTGTCTTTACCACTTTCCAGAGAAAAATATTTCAGGCTAGTAACTAAAGGTAGATAAGATAACATGCATTTTTGGTAACACATATGACAACGTAATTTTCATGAATTTATCTGAATAGTGAAATGATTGTAAGACCATTATATATGCATTGACATGTATAAGTAAACGTTTCATCGATTACACAAGATGTCTTCAGTGTTTGACTGCTTTGTGTGACTGTATGTGGGAAGTCAGTTTATTCAACAAAATATTCTACGTAAATTACACTAATATTTTATTTATTTTTTACAGGATTTAGACGAAATGGAAAATGGGTATGCAAAGGTCTTGTCGCCAAGAAAGAGTGCCAAGCTGATAGCAGAAATTAGTCAAGATGTAAAAGTTATAGATGAGGGCGTAGACAATATCGCTCAACATGTAAGTAAACTATTAACTCTCTCTCTCTCTCTCTCTCTCTTTCTCTCTCTCTCTCATGAAAATATTTCTGGTACTTAAAATTGTTATTTACTTTCAAAGAAAAGGTTGAAAATTTGGCATGCATATTATTTTGTGTATTTTAAAAAAAAATGAATTTAAATTTGAATCAAAATAAGTTGGTAAATATCTTTTCAGAGGAATTCACTGAATGTTCCTTTTTTATATTGAATTGATGATAAGACCGCGGAACATTAACTGGCAAAATTGGAAATATGCAGCTTACGTCATTTCTATCTGTTACAATCAAAACATTTAACGATAGACAATGGAATGGAGGGGGGGGGGGGGTACAATTCGACACTGACGTCTGACAAAACATTGGATTGAAATTCTAGTTTGAAAATCATTTTCAATCCACCTCAGCTACGCTAGAAGACAATGAGTTACTGATTGATCCAGAAGACAAATAATTTCATTTTCGGAACATTTTGAAGTTTAAATATATAAATCAGCATTTCTGACCAGTGTTTTTAAAGAAATATAAAGGAACAAATATTTGATTTCTGTTAGGTATGTGCATGCATGTGTTGGGGGGGGGGGGGGTGAGAGGGCTGAACGATCTTGGAAATAAAAAAGAATTTTTTTTTAGTTTGGACAACACCTCCCTGTTTTTGAGTGTCAAAAATTTTTCAGTGAAGACAAAACTAAAAAAAAATACCTCTTGTCATCCTAGTAATTAACATCAACTCTCTGTAAGGACCAAAATTTTACTATAGGGTCGTGGCACGCACCAAGCCAGATTTTCATGAAACTTTCTCAGTTGATTAAGGTCCATACATGGTGACATTATCAAACTTCAAAATGAAGGTTACCACCTTGGTTGCCATGGTAACGGAGCATCATTCATTAAGGGCCCATCTACTATCATTTCTAGCACAAAAATGCTATATATTTGATGTCACTTACCTTCTTCAGTTTTAATATTCAAAGATAATTCATACATGATATGAAAAGAACAACTATAGTTGTATATGACATATTTAAAATAATTCTCAATGTGCCCGCAATTCCATAAGTGATGGCCCAAAGATGGCCAAAATGTCGCATTTGGAATATGACTATTTTTACCCTATTTTTGAAGAAGTCTCTCAAGAAATGCAGGCAATGAAAAAATAAAGCAACTAATTTTTTAAACACACCATAATAACATTAATTTATTAATATGAAAAGAAGATTGGGGATTTTTATCGTTTTTGTTATTTGTAACGTTGAAATTTGACATTTTGCCAAAAAATATTTTTGTGTAAAATGTTAGCAGACGAGCAAATTATAGAATTTATTATCTGAATTTTTTTTTTTCATTAATGTAGTTGATAAAGTGATTAAATAGAAAATAAAATTTATGATACTTCATATTTGAAACAATTTTTATGGAATTATTAATGGTTTTATATGATATTCATAGCAAAGGGCAGATAACTCCAAACCTTTAATTTTGTGTTTTCAATGGATTTTATCAACTGCATGTATATTGGTACATGTATATATATATATAATTACATTTTTAATTAAATAAATATATTTGAAAGAAAATCTCTGGATAAAAGCTCAAGTGTTTAAATATAGACCAAAAAAATCTTTTGTTCATCAATAAACAATATACATGTAAGTAGCAAGTGTGAATTTTTTTTTAATGGATCCGTCAAATAGTTGCCCCCCATTTTAAATTTTATTCTCCCACATACATTATGAACATATAAATAAATAATAATTACATGAAATATTTTTTCAAATACCTTATAAACACCAGCTATAAGATTAACATCCAATTAAAATAGCACAGTTTATATATCTGGCATAACAGACAGTACACATTTTTCAGATTTTCTATAAATTCCAATATGAATTTGAAAAAAAATGCTGAGCTCGTTTAAAATTATCTTACATTATGATTTACTTGAACTTTTCAAACCCAGAATTTTAATTGCCTGCTTAAAAAGATATGCATATAATGTAATGTGAAATTTTGCATTCATTTTTTTCACTCACGCCATGCAACACATCTTTACAGTACAATAAGCCATTAGTTAAATTGAATGAAATTAAGAGCAAAGGTACTTTGATTATTTAGCTATAGAATGAAACCCATCTCATTTTAAAAACATTCCTAGATTTTTTGAGCATGCCATTACTTTATATGATGATTCACTGAGGTCATTTTGGCCATAAGCAAAATATTTCAAAGTCGTTGCTATGGAAACCAGAGAGGTAATGTCCAAACATTACCCACCAAGAGTCATTATATGGAACCCTCTTTGAAGTTATAGTGTTAAGATCAAATTCTGTGATAGTGCGTGGCCAAGCATTTTTGGTCCTTACAGAGAATTGATGTTAATATATTTTGTCATGTGAAGGCATGGCCTGACTCGACAATTTCTTAACCCCCCCCCCTTTTATAGAATCAAATAGCCATCCCCTGAAAAAAAAAAAAATAATCTCTGTCTTCTTGACTTTTACGTCTCCTTAAAATTATAGGCTAAAAACTCATATAAACAATGATAAGTATGAATTTCACACCACATGTGTTTGGGAATTGAAATTATTTGTCTTCTGGATCATATATTAACACTCTGCGTTTGAAATGAATTTCAAACTAGAATTTCAATCCAATGTTTTCTCGGACGTCCGTACCGAATTGTACCCGCCCATTTCATTGTTTTGACTGTAACAGATGGAAAAGACGTAAGCTGTATATTTCCAATTTTGCCAGTTAATGTTCCGCGGTCTTATAAAATATCTTGAGCAGGAAAATGTTTTATTTATCTAAGAAATGAAACTAGTTTAAACTTTAAAGTATGCCAAACAATCTAAGGGTGACATAAATATTCAAACAAATATATAATGCTGTCAGATGTCCTGGAATAGGCACTGGCACCACTAGAAAAAAAAGAGGGGGGGGGTATTTCTATCATGTAAGTTTTTGAATTTACTAGGGGGAGGTAAATTCAAAATTTACAACATGATACTCTTATGTATAATGTGAATATTCTCTCTTAAAAATATTATCTTATCTTGTCCCAGATGTATGAGTGTGCTAAGAAGAATACCTACACTATACAGTCCTGGCGAACGGAGCACGAATTAAACCCGCGGAAGCAGGACGAGTCAGCCCTGGACTGGTGAGTGCCTGCGCATACTAAAATATAAAATCATTTTTTAAATGTTTCCCCCAAGGTCTGTCTACACCCGCAGGATTTTATTTAAAAATTTCGTTCTATGTGTACATGTTAGGTGAAATAAATTATTTTATGTTGATATACTTATTTGAAACCATTGAAACCGAAGAAAAGTTGTGTTTTACACAGGGTATTTGTAGCAGACACATTGAACTTTTCCTTCTGGTCGGACGACGAATCTCAGAAATACCGCATCAGATATAACGGGAGAGAGTACACGGGCTACTGGTCATGGTGCGCGGCCCTCAATAGAGCTTTGGAGGTAGTTAGACATTTGCACTAAAATATAGTATTTTTAAAAAATCAGATCTATTTTATACTCTATGTAATACTCCTTAATTTATAGATAGCGAGAGTTTTGTGGAAAAAAATTAAATTAAAATTTTTATCATCAAATTCACACATGATAATGTTATTTTTGACTGGGAGCAATTATGTACTATAGCAACAAAATCTTATTGACAAAACATAATAATTACTTTGCTTAATTTCTTAATATTAATTCTGTAATACACATACATGTAGATTGATACTAATTCTTATTTACTGCACAATAAAAAGAGATTCCTACAATGTTTTATGCCATTTGCTCAAAGGTCAACGTCAGAAGGACCCCCCCTCCCCCCGACCACCCTAGAAAACGCGGACCTCTGTTGATTTGGTAGGAAGAGTCATAATACGAAGCTCTAGAAGTGAAGGAAAGCGACTCTCCCCCTCCCCCATGATATAGGTTTTTCACGTTTGGGAAATGAGTTGTTTTTTAGGGGGGGGGGGGGCTGACAAATTTCTGGGTAGATTTTTTGGGGGACTGAGGTGGACCCCCCCCCCCCTCCGGAAAAAAATAATTTCTTGATCCGCGCAGGAGTAAAATGACTGTCAGTATTGTAGTTTATATTCCATACTATTTCCAATCATGTAAATTTTACATCCAACAAATATGATCTTCTATGCCGATATCCGTCGCCTGTTTTTGTGGATAAGCACGTGTTTTGTGTTCACGCCTTTTTTTTTTAACAGAAAGGTGTCAAAATAACAGATGCCAATTTCTACGCCGACATTACAGAGAAGGAACTTGCAGAGGTCCTGAAATCAGACTCTGATATACCAATACCATTGTTACAACAAAGAGTGTCAGTTCTGAGAGAAGCAGGAAAAGTCTTACTGGAAGTAAGTAGGGGAAGTGTATCATGTGCTATAGGAGTCTTTTGTACTATTTAGGGTGGAAATTCTTTGATGCTGATATTATATATATATATATATATATATATATATATATATATATATATATATATATATATATATATATATATATATATAAGAAAAAACTGCTTGTGAAGAAAAAGAATATTTTGTTCAAAGGGTAAAAAAAACTGTTAAATACTAACCCTTGACCCTTTGTAATACAAGTTTATGTTAGTAAGACCTTTTTCATCATAATTTTATTTTCATTTCAATCTTTTGCATAAAAAAACATCAAAAAGGCACTTTATTTTTCAATATTAACGCAAGGAGTTATAAGCAACAATCATTTTTTAAAAAAATGTTTAACTTTTTTTCACAGAAATATGATGGTAAGTTTTCAAACTGCATTAAGGCTTGCAATAAAAGTGCACAATCGTTGCTGCGTCTGGTTGTCCAGGATTTCCCCTCCTATAGAGATGAAGCTGATTACGAAGGAAAGAGAGGTATCCGTTTACATAATTATATAAAGATCCAGATTAATATTAAAATTAATTACTAATTAATGCCAAGTTTAAAATTCTACCATTCTACATTTCGTATTTAATTAGACTCAGCAAACAGTCCCAACTACATGCACTAACCACCTGTCCTCTATTCACTCTTCAGAAGTATCTGATTTTCATGTATAATATGTCCACATTTTTTTCAGTTGTATAAACAATTCAAATTCCTGTGAAATTTGAAAGTGGGGTTTTGCATTTGGGTGACAAAAAAACCCCAAACACTGAATGGTGTAGATTTTTTTTTTCTCACCAAGGTAATCGACTGGAAAAAGGTTACACTGCATATTTCATGATGACTTGATTTCAATGAATTTATACACTCTCTCAATGCCTGGAAATTGTATTTAAATCTTAATTAATATCTGAATGTCTTTGTCAATTGAACTTAAAATGGTTCCCCTTGGTCAACTTAACTATAAAACTTTCTTGGAAAAAACTTTTTTTTTATAGAATTTACCACTTTAAATTGAATTATAATATATAAAAATATAAATTACCTCTTTGTCCTGTTCTATTGACCAGCATAAGGTATGATTTAATATTTGCAAACATTTTCCATTATTTGTTTGTCTTTTGTGTGTGATTTTTTTTTGGGGGGGGGGGGGGTATAAATATATTTTCAGTTTTCCGTAATTTCTCCTTTTTCAAATTTTACTGCAATATGTTAAGATGTATATATTATTATTTATGACTAACTTTAATTATGTTCTTTAGTGTCATTTTACAAGAGAGCCCAGATTTTAGTTGCTGATGTTTGGGCATGCTTTGAGGGGAAAGGTTTTGGGGAATTTTACGACATAGACACAATCACTATGTTTGCAGACTACAGGTGAATTTTATAGTATTTCTTTTTTTAAAAATATTTTTAGTTAGTTGAAGTATGTGTGAACATTTTAATTTTGTTTTGAGAAAGTGGAACTTTTAAATCTCATGTTAAAAGAAAGTGTGGATTATGAGCTTAAAAAGAAAACAATTTTTTTTTAGATCTGGTGTAATGAAATAGAAATTTACTTTTATGACTTGTAAGATTTTGTGAAGCATCAATATTTGCTTTGGAAGTAATTAATAATCACTGTGTATTTTGTTATGAAGATTAGAAAAATTCAAAAAGTTTAAAAATTTGAGAAAAAAATTAACCTCAAATTGTTAATTTGTTTCTCTGATTATGCTGTCTCTAAATGCTGTAGAGAATTGTCGATCATTACTGATTTTATTTTAAAATTAAAAATAGTACACAAGTATATATACAAGGGTCATAGTCATGTACTATAAAATTTTATTTTCAACTAAAAATTAGTAAAGAACAAAATGAATATTCAATAATTTCAGTTTATTTATTGACAAAACCATCATACATTGGCATATAGTCATGAATACAACAAACAATATTAACTTACATAAAAAAATCCCAGTGAGCATATCAGTTATGTTGAAGTTTTATGAAGATTATAAAGCAAAGAATTATTGACACCTATGTACAGAATCTCCTTGCAGATATCAATAGTTCATCTAGATGTATGTTATTTAAGAATATTATTGACCACTTCACACTGCAATATTATTTGGTAAAACCTATTCCTTCCATTTATAAAAAGCAAATTAGCAAGATAAGACTGTCATCACATAATTTAGCTATAGAAAGTGGATGCCATAAAAATATATTACGCGAAAATCGAATATGCGAATTATGTAGATGTGAAATTGAAGAAGAATTCCATTTTGTTTTAAAATGTCCACGATATAAAGATTTACGAGTAAAATATATTAAAAAAATTTACTGGGAAAAACCATCTAATGTTCAAATTCATACAGTTGTTATGTGCACACAATGTTAAGGACCTTTGTAATTTGGGAAAGTTTCTGTACCATGCTTTTAACTTACGTAATGAATGTCTCACTGTCTTATAAACAAATTAAATAAAATGGTTTGTAAATTCTCCACCATTAAACTGATTGTATAATTATTATGCTGTTAAAAAAAACCCTGCGCTATGTCTTACTGTTTATGTGTTATAAATTTATATTGTATACAATAAGATGTATGTCTTACGTAATAAAGTGAATTGAATTGATTTAGAATTGATTTTAATTTGCTCAAACCATGAAATCTGATTATGACTTAAGTCATGTCATGTATAGAATTCAAATGGTAAATTGATAGTATTGTAAAATGTTTATGAATTTAGATTTTTTAATACAGATTTTTTTCCTTTTTTTTATTTTTGTAATTTTAATCTGGACTTTATGATTTGTTATCGTCTATATTCATTAACTCTTATTTGTGTGTCGTATTACATGAAGTACATACATTTGTCCATATTATAAATTTATTTTCAAATTAGAATTGTTAGAGTTTATTTAAAAAAATGTTTAAAAGCTATAACAATTTTTATGATTTTAAAATATCTTTTATATCTTTTGCATTTCAAGAATTCCCCAGGCTTTGTACCACTTCGGAGCATTGTCTTACAATAAAGAACTTATGAAATATCTAAAAGATGGTAGGAAGAATTCTTATTCTTTATTGTTTGACCATTAATTTTTAGCTCACCTGAGCTGAAAGCTCAAGTGAGCTTTTCTGATCACCCGTTGTCCGTCGTTCGTCCGTCTATCCGTCTGTCCGTCCGTCTGTAAACTTTTCACATTTTCAACTTCTTCTCAAGAACCACTGGGCCAATTTTAACCAAACTTGGTACAAAGTATCCTTGGGTGAAGGGGAGTTTAAATTGTTAAAATAAAGGGCCAAGTCCCCTTACAAGGGGAGATAATCAAGAAAAGACAAAAATAGGGTGGGGTCATTAAAAAATCTTCTTCTCAAGAACCACTGGGCCAGAAAAGCTGAAACTTATGTGGAAGCATCCTGGGATAGTGTAGATTCTAAATTGTTCAAATCATGACCCCCGGGGGTAGGGCGGGGCCACAATAGGGAATCCAAGTTTTACATTGAAATATATAAGAAAATTTTTTTACAAATCTTCTTCTCAAGAACCACTGGGCCAGAAAAGCTGAAACTTATGTGGAAGCATCCTGGGGTAGTGTAGATTCTAAATTGTTCAAATCATGACCCCCGGGGTTAGGGCGGGGCCACAATAGGGAATCCAAGTTTTACATTGAAATATATAGGAAAAATCTTAAAAAATCTTCTTCTCAAGAACCACTGGGCCAGAAAAGCTGAAACTTATGTGGAAGCATCCTGGGATAGTGTAGATTATAAATTGTTCAAATCATGACCCCCGGGGGTAGGGCGGGGCCACAATAGGGAATCCAAGTTTAACATTGAAATATATCAGAAAAATATTTACAAATCTTCTTCTCAAGAACCACTGGGCCAGAAAAGCTAAAACTTATATGGAAGCATCTTGGGGTAGTGTAGATTCTATATTGTTCAAATCATGACCCCCGGGGTTAGGGCGGGGCCACAATAGAGAATCCAAGTTTTACATTGAAATACATAAGAAAAATCTTTAAAAATCTTCTTCTCAAGAACCACTGGGCCAGAAAAGCTGAAACTTAAATGGAAGCATCCTAAGGTCATGTAGATTCTAATTTGTTCAAATCATGACCCCCGGGGGTAGAGCGGGGCCACAATAGGTATATTAAAAGGGGGGAATCTGGTAAAGAACATCATGGCCAAAGTTACTCAGGTGAGCGATGTGGCCCATGGGCCTCTTGTTTATTATATTATTAATTAATATTCTATCTATTTTTTAAAATTATTATTTCAGGGCATATGATGAAATCTGGAGACCGATATGAAGTAGAGATTCGTGGATGTAGCATTTGGGCTACTGAAGTGAGAATTTTAATATTAATATTTTAAAGTTTAAATTCTAATTTAATGTCCCTCAACATTTTTTTATGTTCTTTTTGTTAATTGCACTTTAGCAATTATTTATATGTCAAAAGACTAATTTTATATTTGACTACCTTGCGTGTCTTTCCTAAATTACCTGAATGGATATAAATATGCTTAACTTAGTACATGTATATATTCTGGTAATATTTTCCACTTATAGCTTGTCGCTGAGAAAGCAAGGGAATTAATTAAGGAAGATTCCTCATTGAAAGATGTAGTGATGAATTCTATTTTGATTGATCATTACCTGTGGGACTTCAGACGAGACCACGCAGAGGAAATGCGTGATAATATTCCATTTCATCGCATTCGATGCATTTACTACTGAAAAAATATTATATACCTATTATGTGTTGTCTTTTAAAAATAAAACTTTAAAGAACTTTTTATTTTTTTTTCTATGGGCGGAAAGGGGGGGGGGGGGGGATATGAATATTGTGTTACATGTATACATGTATCCAGTGTACGTAAGCAGAATAGGGGGAAAACCTCCACCTCCTCTTAAGTTATATTGCAAAGTTTAAAAAAATTGAAAACTTTATGCTATTAATTAAATTCTAAATTCTAACTTTGAATATTTTTAGTTTTTCATGTCGTGTCATTTTACTTTTTTTTAACCCCCCCCCCCACCCCACCCCTCCCCCCCCCCGGTCATAATTCCTGGATCTGCACTGATAGAGAACATATTTTAGCCAAAATATTTAAAAAATTCAATATGCTTGTGTTTTTCTTGATCTGAAAGTTATTGTTTACTGTTTAGTACTTTAGATTTGGAAGGGGGCTGAGATAGAAGGGATGTAGCTGCAGAACTGTAGCGTTGTGGTTTTATATCTTATCTTTGACCATAACCATTAGACTAAAATATAAAACCATGATGCTACAGTTCTGCAGCTAGAAGGGTTGATAATATATTTAAATATATGATCGAATGATTCTGACTGACTGAAATCCAATATTCCTGGAAAAGAAAACGTTAAAGATTGCATGAGTTCACCTGCAGTCACTGTAATAAGCAAGATCTAAACATTATGTAGTGATTACTAGCACAATTTCAAAAAATTATCGATTCGCAGAACAGGTACTTTTTTCTTTATAAAAGAATCTGGGGGAATAAGACGAGCCATGTGCCCATGCCCATTTTTCGGCTATGCAAGAACATTTATTGGAAAAAATCTCTCAATTGTTCGAATTTACTTAAGCATTTTAATGTTTGCAGTAGTTCTCAAAATGATATTTATATTCTAAACAAGCTAAACAGTTGACTTTCATTTACTGTCACAAGTGTTTAACATGGGTAGGGACTTCTATTAATTAATCTGCTATCGAGTGTTAACACTTATTGTGGAGATATTATAAAAATGTTAACATTGTATATAATGATAGTGGTGATCTAGAAGCGCTTGTAGTAAAAATAAATAAAAAACGGGAATAAAAGTATTCAAATATCTATTCTAATTTTTATCCGTCATTCTAAATAATTTACTGTAAATGAGTTCATTACTATATATATATATATATATATATATATATATATATATATATATATATATATATATATATATATATATAAAGCACTAAAAACCAACAACACTGTATATCCTAAGTGTCGGATCTACTAAGTAGATACAAGGTCACGGATGGAAATTTATATAAAGCACTAAAAATGACCAACGACACGAACAATAATAATTGTCAAATTTTCGGGACAACCTGTCCCTTCCTCAGGACAAAGAAAAAAGTTAAGAAGTCATAAAAACAAAGGAAATAGAGAAGCAAAAACAACTAGCACTACTACTAAACTACCAAACACTAAATATTTACAATGTTACATGTTTAATTTGGAGTTTATAAACAGTTGTGAACAAAGAAATCCGGAGCGCTATGAATTGCGTCCGGTCTATCGGGTGTAGTCTGGTGAAGTGTGATTTACATAATTGAACGAATTAATTATCGCTAATTAATTACGGCCAACAGTAAATCGTACATTGTCTTATTCTCTCAAAATATTTTGAGAGAATAAGACAATGTACGATTTACTGTTGGCCGTAATTAATTAGCGATAATTAATTCGTTCAATTATGTAAATCACACTTCATATATATATATATATATATATTATTTCCAGTGAAAAATATGTTATTCCTATAGACATTTTTTATAAAGTAAAACAAAATTAACCCCCTCCCCAAAAAATAAAAAATAAAAAAAATCATGATTCTAACACTTTCCTCAATAAACGTCCCTTTAAAAGAGCTCCTCGCTAACCACTATACCACGGAGTCACACATATATACACATTTAAATAGCATACAGTTCTCTATATTTAGCAAGCGTATTTGGACTTAGAATTTTTTAAGACCACGGTGAAAATTTAAGTAAGTTAACTTAATTTTTTATGTAGAGTGGGTCTTCATACCAAATTTTTGCAAGTGTAAAAAGCAACATCTTTCCATTGCCTTTCATTAATCGTTCTCAAAAAAATGGTATGATGACCCACTCTATTTAAAAAATGTAGTTATATCATCCAATTTATGTCAGTTTTTGTGAAAATTGAGCGTGCCCAGCAGGCACACAACATTGAAAAAAAACTTTGAATCAACGTTGATTATATATGTTGATTCAACGTTTAGTTTATGTAAGATTTTGAAAATTGTGTTCAACGTTGAAATCTTAACGTTGATTCAATGTTGAAAATCAATGTTGATTAGACATTGAATAAAAGTTAATTCAACATTGTTGTTTTTTTTTTTTCGGGAGCGGGGGTGGATGGTGATTACTTATTTAAAATTTTAATTTTTTATTAACTAAGATGCCTTCATAACTATATGAAGGAAAACATATATAAATCTATATTGTAAACATTTAATTAACTTCCTATCAATAGATCAGTTACAATGAATTTCACAAAAATACATTTTATAAATTACATGTAATCAGTACAAAACCCAAACATTTTACAAACGTTTTCTATTTTCACCCGTGGTCAAGAAATAGTCCAATACATGAAAACATTCCAAGAAAAGATGTAAATCTTATACGGTAGCCATTTTGATGCACCAGATGCGCATTTCGACAAATTATGTCTCTTCAGTGATGCTCATACCAAAATGTCGGAAATCCGAAATCTGATAAATATTTCTTTTAAAAAATATATTATTAATTAAATCTTGGTGTTAGAGTCCTGGTGTTGGAGTCCTGAGGGTGGTGTTGGTCTTTGTGGGTGGTGTTGGACTCCTGGGGTGCTGTTGATCTCCTGATTAGTGTTCTCTCCTGGATTATGTTGGTCTTCTGAGTGGACAGATTGGTGCAGCGTTTTAGTTGATTACCCCTACAATGTACAATTTAATATAATAAATATTTGTATAATGAAATATGTTAAAATTGTGTTCAATCTCATAATCTTTTTATTCCAAAATTATCTTTCAGTGAAAATTGACGAAAACTTTAAGGAAGCTCTATACACAAACAAAAAGTGCTTTTTGGACTAATTATTATATATATATTAAAAATATATCATATAAAGGTGTGCATATTGAGTCTGTTTAGTTCATGTTCATCATAGGGTACCTGCCTTATTTCCGCAGGAAAAATGTTCAAAGACAATGGACTACTCGTGAGCAGAAATCACCGTTGTTTACTTATATTGGGAAAATTAATGGAAAAATGAATTCCAATTACTTATTCTCGATCTAATATAATGCTAGGAATATTCTGATCTATTACAAATTGTGTAATTAACTGTAAATAACCGGGTTTTTTTTCTATCTTACTTCTAAGGGCAGATCACTCTAACTGCATAAAACTACCCTATAAGTAGAACTCTTTAGTGTGCAGTGCTTAGAGCTTCCTTAACAAACAATTAATATCTTGCGCTTTTTTCCAAATTATGAATAATCAATCCAAAGACAAATATAATTATTAAAAACGAATTATTAAAAAAATACTTATATGCAAAAATTAGTTAATTTCTTGCCATTGCAAATGATATTTATCAATAAATCTTTAAAATGCAAATTTTTAAAGTGTAATGAGAATGGTTAATGCACTGTACCATTTAATTTCCATGTGTTAACATTCATCAGCTGCTTAATTTGCTGGAGGCTGTGAGGTGCTGGAATGTCCTTCATTTACAAGGTACATCTATATCATTGTTTGGCCGTGAGATTAAATCTATCTCTTCCATTTCTTTATAAGCCATGCCTACTGTTCACAAAACACAAAATAAAATGAAGTAAATTGAAAGTGTAACAGGAAAGTAAAGAAAAAAATTGTTAAAAGCTTGTGTTGCATCAAAGCAAAAGACTTACACATGAATTTCTCAACCCAAACTTGTGCAGCAGTTCAATATTTCACAAAACACCTGGGCGTAGGAACCGAGGGGGGGGGGGGGGGGGCGATATGTAGATTACTATAGTAAACATAGATACTATTTGCCTTGTGCCCCTCAATAAAAATCTCTGATGACATTTTATTTTATTTTTTTTTTTTTTTGCTTGTCAAGGAATTTTGGTAGTTGATGACCTTTTTTTTTTGCTTGTCAGGAAATTTTTGGTAGTGCCCCCTCAACTGTCGACTGAAAATGTATGGCTGTGCCCCCCAAACTAAATTTGCTTCCTACGGGCCTGAAACAATTATTTACAAGAAAAACTCAAATCCAAGACATGAAAAAAAAATCATTAAAAGAGGAAATTACTTTTAAAATAATGATTTACTCATCAAATAAAAAAAGGGGGAAAGGGATACATGTATACTGGAAAACAGACGGGGAATTCCTGACTGCAACCCCCCCCCCCCCCCCCCCCCAGTAAAGCTATACAAAGACAGATCCATAAGAATCTGAAAATAAAAAATTCAGGGTTCCTTAAGATGTTACAGATGTGAGAATGGGATGTAAACGGGACTCGGTGTGCCGTGAAAACTGCCCGAAAGCTTTCGGTGGAGATGGTAGACTTCCCCTTTCAACACTGTTCAACATGTTCAAGTGGCCACCCCCCACCCCCCCCTTTTTTTTTTTACAGAATCTTTGATCCGTTTATGCTATATATCCTAACACATAACATACACAATATGTAATACTCTCAAACTATGAAGAGCAATTAACCAAACTATACAATGGAATAGTTTTCAATATGGTCTTCATGCATTCTTTAAAAAAAAAAATATTGAACTGAAATTGGCGTCAGTTGGAATTCGAAAACATCCATAATCACGAGCAATTAAGATAAATGCCAAATCGAGTTATATTTTTAAAATCTTAAAACAGCTGTATATATAAAATCTTAAAATTATCAAAACTTACCAGTAACTGTTATCCTGTCTTTTTGAATATTTTCCTGATGTCCTACTGCGCATGCTCTTAATTCGTACATTGGCAAATTCGTACTGAATTCATATTAATCACTGAATTTGTAAAATACATATATTTACCATTCTTGTTTGTTGTAATAGTTATTAAAGTCGGTAGTGCGACTTTGTTAAGTCCGACCTCGTTATGGTCCGACAATGTTATAGTCCGACATTATTATAGTCCGAATTACTTATCAGAGAAAAATAGGATTCCCGCTCAACGAAGATCCGACGTTAAATCAATGTTGGCAATTCAACTCAATTTGAATTCAATGTCGAATCAACGTTACATTTTCAACGTTGAAAAGTCAACGTTGAATCAAGATTGAATCTAGATTTATCAACGTCTAAACACATTTTCAACTAATATTCAACGTTTAAACAACGTTGTGTGCCTGCTGGGGTGATGCCATTTTTTGTGTTAATCAGAATCATTTTCGCTGTTACAGTATTCAGGTTTTGTCAAAATTGTATCCAAATGGTAATAAGCATTACTCTAATTCAACAAAAAGTGAAATTTTTTAAAAATGAATTTACTGATTTTTTATCGATCGTTATGTAGGCATATGGCTCGGCTTATCCCCCCAGTTTCTTTTAACCCCATACTATATTTCATTACAAAAAAGTGTCTGGAATGCGCAGATATTTGGCGAGCAAAATGCCTATATTGTGCGACAAACAAGAAAGTCAAAAATTTAAATTTCATTTATAACAAAAATTTCTTTGATATTTCATTTAACATGAACATTTTTATGTAAAATCTCCACAATCTGCAAAAATTTCACAAAGATTGAAATGATCATTTCTTCATACTATTTGTAACCTTACAATTTTTCGATTAAATGAAGTGGGTCCTCGATCCACTTTCTTGAAAGACTATTCTCAAAGTATGCATAAAATATATACAATTTCTGGATTTAAAAAAAAAAAACCAAAGACGCTGTGACACTTTACCTCAAAAATTCACTCTCGTATCTTTCTAAGAGGTCCTTTAATTAGTCAAGGGTCGTACATGATTTTAATGCCGCTATCTGTGATAAGCTGCATAGTATAGCGTAGTTGTTAGCGTATAAATCTCGAAGAAAAAAAATGACACTCAGCAATTTTACTGCTTGGGTGTTATCCCCAAGAATACCTTCTTTTTTTTTCTTTTCTTTCTTTTTTTTTTTTTTTTTTTTTTTTTTTTTTTTTTTTTTTTTTTTTTTTTGTAAAAAATCATAGAGTGATTTTTGCCGAAAGAATTTTCTCAGAAAAGTTTTGTCATAATTTCATACCTTTCAATAATAAGAACTTTACTCTAAATACTAAGTTCACAAATTGAATATTACATACTTTTGAAGCTGCATGTTTAGGAATTTTGCACGCCTTGTTCGCCAATTTCATATAATAACGGTATTACGGATTTACATGTACCTACCAAACCGGTTTTATATTCTTTCTATCGTGTACACTTCCTGTCATCAGGTCATAATCGCCGGTGGACCTGACTAGAGTGCTAACAAGTAAATCCTTCAATTTTTGGCATTTGCCTGTATAATAATAATCAACCGGAACATCCACATGCTGGGTATAATCACCGCATGCCATATTTTTTTAATTTATAATTTCATAAAATATACGAAAAAGCGATTACTTGTTTTTGGACAAAACGAAAGTAGATCACAGTGTTGATTTTGATATAAATCATCAAAGAAGTACAGGGTTATTAATTAAGGGTAAAAATTTACCTAAATCAGATCCAATTCGATAAAAGTATTGTAGTTACAGAATTCTCATTCACATGATTGCACCTAGGACGAAAGATGATACCCTATCTTTGAATATATGAATGCATACTTATCAGGTCCAGCACAAGCTCTTGATTTAGCTATATAGCTTGATTTAGCTATATAGCTTTATTAAGTTATTCAGAATAGCTTGATTTAGCTATTTTATCACAAATTTTCTTAAATGTGTTATTTTCTCAGCATGCACAAAAAGTCGCACCTTGGTACAGTGATAATATTCAACCTTGAACTCTTTTGAACATAATGCATGTAAAAATCACTCATCAAATTGCGTCTCCTTAAGAGACTGTGTACTCAGTTCTAAAAGTTTTGGGGCTATATAAAGCAATTGATACTTATAAAGGAGGACAATTATGGTCCACAAGATAATTCAGTACAATAGAAGTAATCATACTTATCCACGTCTTAACGCACACAAGGTAGTGTACAGTTACTCAAACAATGGAAATACATCGTTTGCTTAAAAGTATTCAAATGCTGCAATGTTAGAACTATCTTCGATTTCAGTTGTTGTTTTGATAGCCCATAGTACATATATGAATAGTCAAATACTTTTTGTCTATTTCTTACAAAAAACATTTAATTTGTGAAAATCTGTAGATAAATAGCTTTATCAAGCTATTTTGAATAGCTTAATAAAGTTATATAGCTATTTCAAGCTATATAGTTGAATCAAGAGATTGTGCTGGACCTGCTTATGACTGTTATATATATCACATCATATTATATTATATTATATTATGTTATAGATAGTACTTTCCAATGTCACTCTTTGAATTATTGTATAGATTATTATTCAAGAAAATGAAATAGAGATTAAAAAGAATTCAGGTTCTTGATGGCTACTGAAATTTACATGCAGTGTTTACCTTTGAAAACATTAACTACATTTACATTTGAACCTTTAATATTGGTCTTTCATTATTTTAAATTCTTATAGATGTTTTCGATATTTTTTCACTACTTTTTACATTGATAATTGATATTTTTATTATGTAAAGCTTCAAGATGCCAAGGACACTTCAACCACTTAGTAATTCTGATGAACAGCGCATAAAGAAGAACTGGAGTTTTTTGAAAGAAGAGCTACATCAAGATGAGATAAGAGATGCATTTATGGATGAAGATATCTGGGATGTCAAGGACTTTGATGAAATTGATGCAATGCCTACTCCAAATAAAAAGAATGAAGTTTTCCTTAGGCTATTATTAAAGTCTGGACCAGGGGCATACAAAGTTTTTGTTGATGCTTTGAAAGCAAAACACTCTGATCATATTTTAGAAAAACTTAAAAATACACCAATTACTGAGAATAAACAGGCAGCCCAAGGTAAGTTGTGTACTTATATTGCACTGTGGGATGAAGAGACATAATCTTTTAATAGGATATCTATATATTGTATGATTTCATACTTGCTTTACACAAGGAGTTGAAATGATGAGGCTTGCATGGAATTTACATCATTTCAACATACTGGACAAAACAAAGATAATATCATACAATATAAATGCTCCCCTTTATCTTATTTTGTTTTTAAAACATATAAATATTAAGAAATCCCATTGAATAGATAGAGTGTAATAAGAATATGAGATTGATTGTGTCTGCATTGTTGGCATGTTGTTTATTTTTTTTTTATCACAATTCCATTTTTTTCTTTGAGTTTGTATTTTGTCTATTGTCTGTTCAAAGCACTGCCTGTTAGACATTTTTTTTTTCAAATTTCTACTGTACTTAAAATCTTTGCAGTAACTCAGTAAATTGGGTTATAAGTAAAACTACAAAATGATATACCATGCACACAAATTTATATTTTTATTTCAATGAGTTTGTTTTTTTTGTGGTTGAACCACTAAAAATACAACCCTCTAAATTCTTTTAAATTCTAACCCAGCTTCTACAATTTTAGCCAGACTTCAATTCAACTTGTGCACAAGTACTCTTCATCACTGTACTAAGGAACTTTTTTTTTTTTTAAATTTTGATGAGTGGTGTTGCTATGGTTACTGAAAATAAAATAATCTGCTCTCAATTCTCAATTTATCTCTTCCCCCTCCTCTGGTGCGAGTCTGATTTAAATAAAATTTGGAACATTAATGTAAAGAAGATCAAGATGTATGGTTCTATTTATCAGTTTTTGAATTTCACTGAATAGTACTGTGATGGGTGGCTACTGATAAAAAAATATCTTTTGAATATTTCAGTTTTCATTGGTTACAGGTTTGAATCTTAGACTGGTTGGTCATATTTTCTCTCTTCCTGATCTTGGTAGTGTACAAATATTTTGTATATCTTTTACAGTGGACCATTTTGCAAAACTAACAGATGCTCAGAAATCGCATTACCTCACCGAACAAAATCTCCTCAAATTCAACAAATGTTTTGGAAGTGATGTTGAAATAGTTGGGAAAGCTTTACTCCTTACACAGTCCGATATTGATGTGATAAGAATGGAAAACCCATATTCTGCAATCACACAGATTCATAAGATTATTCTCAGATGGAAATATAAAAATGGAAGAAATGCAACATTGGGAGAATTAACCAGGTGTTTTATGGATGCAGAGAATGCTGGTGCAAGAGTGGACTGGGACAAGTTTGATCAAGGTGTTAATGTTTTGACACAGAACATGTAGGCTAGAACAAAAGACAATAGCCAGTATTTGACTACAGTTGAACATCAGTAATTTATCAAATACCATGAATATGTTAAAATAAGTTGAAAGTCTCAAGTTTTGTTTGTTTTTTTTTTTTTTTTTTTTTTTTTTTTTTTTTTTTGTATACATGTATTTTTACTCTGATATCTTGAATCCATTAAAATCTCCCACTTTTTTCTCAGCTCCATTGAGTTTAAGACAACGAGGTTGACTGTGGTTAGTTCTGTAAATTAAAGAACTGATACTTTCACAGAATACAGAGTTAACAAAAAATTATTGTATTTTACTTTCTATAAGAAAGGTGGATCAAAATTCAACATATGAATTTAAAGACTTTACTTGTGTTGATCTACTGAGCATTAGAAAGTATTACATATGTATTTGAACTGTTGTTGCCTCAAAAATTTATATATATGGCATTTAAAGACATGTATCTGAAGAAAACAACAAAAGTGCTTATATTTTAACAAGAAGTGTTGCCTTTTTATTTCATTTTCATATTAATTATCAGACACTGTAATATTTCTTTTGTTTTCTTATTTATAAGAATATTTATATAGAGAGAGAAAGTATGTTTGTGTGTGAGGAGGACTGAAGCATCAAATATAGAAGGGGTTTTTTTTTCGGGGGGGGGGGGGGGCTATTTGTAGGTAAATTTAACATTGTTACCGAGTTAGCAGCTTAAAGATTTCATTTTTGAATCAGATGGTAACCTATCATCAGAAGGGGTATTATCACCTTCAGCTAAGTATTTTAAAAAGGTCAAGGTCTCAGGGATTGGAAGTTAATGTTTTTTGTCTTGACCAAGAATTTGAAAAGTAATAGAGAGAAATATTAGAACATGGAACGAAGATACCATGTCAAAGGGGTTGAGTCTACACGGAATAAATTGTAGGTACATGTACACAATCAATAACGTGTATATGTATAAATATCTTTGAAGAAAAAATATGTATCATAAAGATTGTAGTGGTTTTGGGAAATGGAAGATATTTTAGTATCGCACATGGTGTACAGTTTGCTAATTCAATAATAAGAAAAGTTGCTTGGGTTTTGAACAAAGTGTCAACCCATTGTTTGATATTTTGAAAATTCTTTATCACAAACTTTGATGGGTTGTATAAAATTGTCTTGAGAGTTAAGAGCTTAAATGGTAATTATGAGCAAATTTTTGGGATGTTTTAATGCTATTTTATAAATAATGAGCCAATTATTGGTACATACATGTATCTCTTTATATTGTAAGCTCCCCGGGAATGGCCAAGCTTAAGTTGGGGGCGCTACAAAATAATAACTGGCAGTACTCCTGTACTAAAATCCTTGGTCACTTGGTAATAGGGAAAACTTAAGATTCATCTTGGTCTCAATAACATATAGTTTTCATCTGAACAGGTACAATTCATATTGGTGGCGTCTACCGTACACTCTACTTTTATAAAAAAAGAAGGGGGGGGTGTACAATGGCTTTAGTAGGATGATCTCCAGAGTTAATTACAATACAGTAGGTGTCCAGTGTGTTGGGAGATAATTGTCGAACATTTTCTCACCTGGAATCACAATAGTATGGCTATGGTGAAAATATGGGCGGATCTTGGATCTCTACTTTGAATATACGCGCCTGACAACTCGGCAAATTATCTGATGACATAATGCGATCGCCCCTTCGGAAAAGGGTCACATGACAAGTTTCAACCAATACAAATGCTGTACGGCGACGTTCCACCAATCACGACAATGTACGACATCGTACAAAATAAAAATCGTGTCGTACTGTCAAACAAAGTTGTCGTACAATATGGATTATAAACAAACCCAGGAATTAAGTTGTGAAAAGACAAAATAATCAATAAATATGGATGACAAAAGATGTGTCTATAATAAGTAAGTAAACAATTTATCTCTGAAACTTGTAAATTTCACAGAAGTAAACTTGCTGAGTATGCAGACGATATCGCGGATGGATAAAAATATAGTACAAGTTTTAGACACATGTAATCGGGAATAACAATTACTAAAATGAATATTAGAAATCACAATAATAATTAACATAATTAATAGCAAGTAATTATGCCAGTAATGTAACATGAATAACATGAGGTTAAATACGAAACTAATCTACTTAACATGCACCGATAAAGATGGCAGACAGGATGTAAACAAGTTGCATGGCAGCAGATGATTTAAAGTGTTGCAGTTAATCTACACATGTAGAATTGCTAAAATAGTGACAGTTAACTCAAGAAATACTTGCAGATTTAAGATGAAGGGTAACTAATTCATGGTATGTAAAAATAAATGCGAACATTAACATTCCTGACCAATTCTAGCACAACGTTTTGACACGCATGAAATAATATTACAAGTAAAGTCCACCCGCCCTACTATGATTACACAGTAAACCGTCGTAAAATTTTAGACATCTGACAGGTCCTTACATTATTGATGACTTAGAGAGGTCAAATGTGAGTGGTGTTTTTTTTTTAACCCTGTTCTCAATTTCTAATGTTTATAGGATTTGAGATAATTAAATCACTTTTTATTGTTATCTTTATATATATATATTTTTTATTTTGTGTGGTTATTTTTCTTAACTTAAAAAAATTCACCCTTTTCTGGACATTGGGGGGGGGGGGGGGCTTCATAAGCTGATTTTTGTTATGTCTATTCTGATGCCTTCCAGATCAAGTCTGAGTTTTATTCCAGTCATTGCCCTTTGATTGCAAATTTCTAATTATTTTCTGTTTTCCAGAAGGTCCATGGTCCTCTGATATTTCGTGTGTAGAGTTATATAACAGCTATATATGGCGTATCTGACCTAAAAAATAAAAATACGAGATTGAGTGCAGATAAACATGATATATGTTATTGTTTTTACGTTTTATTTACGTTCAAATTAAAATTTTCACCGATTTTGAACTTGAATAACCTCATGTTGACTTTAAAGTGGCTGTTATTTAAATGCGGAGTCGGTAAATAAATCGGTTATTGTTTTAAATTTCTAATATCTTTGAAACGTGATTGATTTAAAATCTGGAATTTACAGGAAAGTCCTATCTTAATATAAAGAAATAAAACAAATAGAAAAATCTTTTTAATTTTAGTTAGTCTTAACTTATGAAAAACATGCGCGCCATATATGACTTTAATGACTTACAGATGAAATTTAAGTTCCTTGTTGATTGACCCATTCTAACCAGAGATCCCCAAGTTCCATTTTCTTTTTTAAATCCGGGATCGATACACTTATTGAAACATTTTTTCATGCGTTCTAATATGCATACAAGTTATCGGTTATATGTAACCTGTTTGCCTCTATGAGCTATTTATAAATAATCTTTTCTCGACTAATGCATAAAAAATAGAGCTGTTTTTACACATGGAAAGTGTTTTTAAATTCCATTAATACTAAACTTTTGTTTTCAGAATAGACATTAATTTAATTTACATGTATAATTTTCGTAACATTTATTAATTAATGCTGCATTTCTATATTCCAGTCACCTAGCCTAAATATCGTTTCGGAAGTTAATCGTTACGGAAGTTAATTTCCAGCAATAAAAGTTAAAGTTCTCTGCTATAGTTAAAATTAACGTTTGTTCTTGGATGTTAAACAAAAGTATGAAGCATTTCGCTCCAAAAATAATAAAAAACAAGATGTGTTTATGAAACACTGATGCCCCCGTATGGCAACTTACAGCAAAGGTTAAACTTTCTCAAATCAAATATGTTGATACCCAAAGTAAGGTCTTGTCTCGAGGAATAAACCTGTGAAATATGAAAGACCTAGCAGCAACCATTGAATAGATATGGAAAAGGTTAAAGTTTTTTCAGAAGTATGTCAAACATCAAGGTTAAATGGTCAAAATTAATGGAAAGGCCTTCTCCCAAGAAATACACAGGTGAAATATGAAAGCCGAAGCACCAATCGTTCAAAATTAAAGTTATGGCCAAGGTTAAAGTTTTCCAAAAGTAGGCCAAACTCCAAGATCAAAGGGTCAAAGCTGTTGGTATCCAAAGAAAGGTCTTGTCACAAGGATTACATATGTGAAGTATGAAAGCCCTAGCACCAACCGTTCAAAGTTATGGCCAAGGTTAAAGTTTTCCAAAAGTAGGTCAAACTTAAAGGTCAAAGGGTCAAAGTTGTTGGTATCCAAAGGAAGGTCTTGTCACAAGGATTACACATGTGAAGTATGAAAGCCCTAGCACCAACCGTTCAAAAGTTATGGCCAAGGTTATAGTTTGGTAAAATTTTGCAAAACTGGGTCAAATTCCAAGATCAAGATCAAAAGGTCATATATGGTGGTACCCAAGGAAAGGTCTTGTCATAATGAACACTCATGTCAAATATTAAAGCCTTACCCTCGACAATTATTAAATTATACCTTTAATTCAAAACTTTCCTGAATTACCGTTACGGAAGTTAAGTTTTGAAGTGAGACGCCTGTTTTCAAATTAGTCTAATTCATTTTGCTTTGTCGAAAATGTAATGGTCTAAAGTAGCGGACTCGCAACTAGAATCGATGATATTAGGTTCCATGGTCACTAAAGTCTTTCAGATAAGTTTCAGTTCTTTTTGAAATCTGCATTCTGTGCGGGAAATTCAAAACAAAATCATTACGGAAGTGAAATGATTTTCAGCGGCATGCTATGATTTCGTATGAAAGAAGATCCGTGCATTTCTTTGCGAGATTAGTGGTTTCTTTTTATATAGGAAAGACTTTTTTAAATATTTATTGCAATCTATTCGAAACGCTTATACGGCTGAAAATTTCATCTTGAAATTTGTAAATGAATGAAGCGACATTAAAATTTCAGTGGAATACGGCATTTTATTACATTTTCAACAGTGAAATACTGTGATTTATTTATTGAATAAAAGTGAGATTCTTTCACAGTGTGAAAGGGTATCAAAGTAAGTAAAAATAATTTCTGGCCTGTCATAAGATAGTGTAGTAAGGTCAGATTAATAAGATTTATTAAAATATTAAATGTGTTTGTTTGTGTAATTTCAATGTTTACCTGGCCATGTGCTTGTGTTGTGTTTTGTGTTCTGTGTAGTGTTTTGTCCAGTTTGGTAGTGTCATGTGATGTATTATTATTATAATTGAGGTCTTGCCCTGTTCTGCTATTGGTTAAGTCATTTTGGTCAGTCAGGTGGTATATTTATCCCATGCAGTTCATGCTTTTCACTTTCTAGCCAGACCTTGGTCCTGATACATGTAGCAGCAGGTTAGATTTCTCTTACTAATTTTACTAATTTTGTTGTTTAAATTAATTCTCTATACTTTTGACTATGACATTTAAAGTTAATATAAAGTTTATCTAAAGCTTAAGATTTGAATAAGTTAATTATTATGCTTGATTAAAAGACTTATTGGTTTTAAATAATCTGAATGTTAAAAACTACATTTAAGTGTGTATGCAACACCTTGAACTGTTTTATATTATTTTGATGACTAGGTGCTGGGTTACCATATG